AAGTTATTGGCCGTTGTGCGTTTTTCAAAGCGTGCTGGTGTGATATATTCAGAAGTAGGCAAAATACGTAAAACAGGACAATCAAGGGAAGAAACAGCTAGGGCATCTGCATGCGCATTGATAGCTAAGCCTGTACGGCCTGGTACCCAAACTAGTCGAACGAGTCGCACATGTCTAGGAATGAGCGAGTAGAAAGTTTCTAAGGTACGCGAAAAAGTTGGTGAGCTTAAGGCAGTGCAGACCGAGAGACAGTCTGTTAGAATAATCACCACTGATAGATCTTAGGGCACTTTACGCAATGCTAGGACTATTGCCAGTAGCTCAGCTTGGTAAATGGGGGTAAAGTCGGGTAATCGAATTTAGAAAGCCCAATCTAGAGAGGATGATGCGATTCCTACGCCAGCCTTCTCTTCATAAACACAAGCGTCAGACAGAACAGCAGTTAATTCTAACTCTTCGTCTTCCTCATGTTTCTTTCCCACCCGTGAACCGTCACATATACAAGACCAAAGGCTGGGCACTAAACTTACATATATTGCATCAATAAACTTGAATGCATCCCCATGCTAATAAATCATTTGTTAGACGCTAGTAAAAATAACTTCTAAGGTTTGTTCAAAAGCTTCATTAAACAAATTCATGACACAAAGTTAGTAACGGTGCGCAAAAGGTAGTAACCGTTGCAACCCTTAAGTTAATATTAACTTGACTTGACATAAAATGTTTTTAACAGTAGGTAGCCACCACTGCATTCCTATTCAATGCTTCACGAGCATTACGATCTATTTTAAAAGCAGCTGCGAGACCTGGCGTGCCTCCTAGGTAGAATACTTAGTTGCCACGCAAAATGCTGTTTCGAATACTGTTAGGACCATGACATTTTTTTCTTTATATTTGTCGGATCAGCGCAGCCTACGTCAGGATTTTCTTAACGCTCAAGCGCTAAAATTACCCTGTCTTCTTGCGTTCCTCGGCAGATACTGAGGGTCATTACTGTGGAAAACACCCGCATACCAGTGGCACATACCCGCCCGCAGGTATGCGCCACTGTCTGGAGGAAAGTGTTTGACGACGTACACGACAGGATTGTGACATTATTCATGTCACAACCAGCGGGCCGTATTTGTCGACCATACTACGCTCCCATACTAATTTCGGTTTACCCACTGTTAAAGGGATGATCACGAGAGCACCCAGACGTAGGCGGATAGATAGATAGATAGATAGATAGATAGATAGATAGATAGATAGATAGATAGATAGATAGATAGATAGATAGATCGATAGATAGATAGATAGATAGATAGATAGATAGATAGATAGATAGATAGATAGATAGATAGATAGATAGATAGATAGATAGATAGATAGATAGATAGATAGATAGATAGATAGATGTACCACGCTGCAGAGCGCATCGTGGGGTCATCGCTGGACGCATTGTGCTGAGAGAGAGAGAGAGTTATTTGAGAAAGACGAAGATAAGGAAAGGACACTATTTTCTGCCCATTGTGGTACTTGGCGCTCGTAAGTGGCTAGTGGTATATCGTGGCACTGACTCATCTAAAAGGGGAAGAAGTCGAGCAAGCAGAAGGCCCGTTGACAAGTGCGCAAACATTTCCACACTCTTAAAAAAAATGTAGTGACGTTCTCTCCATTTAGGGAGGAACGGCGATGTCCCCAACGTTCGTCTTTAAATAGAGAAACGTTGCTCCCTTCGCCACGGAGAAACACGTTCCTCCCAAGGAAAATCAACATGGCTGACCCCAGGTTAACGAAGCGAGTAGGCTTAGCAAATGCATCGATTCTTGGCTGATAACGAGTACACGGCACTGAAAGCTTGGTATCGAAAAAATTATTATAAAAACAAGCAGACGAACCTGTGGTGATGAAAACATCGCGAAAGAGAACGATGGAGCAAGCAGGTTTCGTTCGGCCAGCGAGGCGACGTTCACTCCGAAAGACACAGATACTGCAGAGTCCTCACCTGAAGAGTGCATGCTAGGCTTGCTGTATTTATTTCTCGCAGATTCACATAGCGTAGCGACGTTATCCATGTGTTTACGGGGCCGCAGGTCACGAGATGTGCCTCCAAACCGTAGAGTCGATCGCAGCGAAACCATTCTGACTCAGTAGTGCAGCTTTGATAGATGTTCAACGTTATAAGTAGCTGGAGGTGTGAGAGCGTCATAGCCGCGAAGTAGGTGGTAGCTTGCGCCATCTAGAGGAACTGAACAATACTAAAAAAAAAAGGTCGTCGCAGGCGACGTACGTTGTCATACCCACCATCACGGCTCCCTTGCGGATAGTTAAGGCCTCAGCCCGTTCAAGATTACTCACTGACACCGGACGCCTAATATGTGCTGATGCAATCCATATAGCTACACATGCACACAGATACACATGCTACACATAGTACGCATAGAGGGCCAACTCAATGAACAAGATCACAATCAACCATTCACAACAGTGGCAAACACTTCGACATGTTTACTCACACCCAATTACGAAAACGCACAAGCTTACACAGCGATGCATATCGGTTGACCATAGTGGAACAAGCTACAAATAAGTTTTCTCACATTTTTTGCGTTTTGTGGCCATACCACAACATGCGCACACGTAAATATGTTGTATCTGATCTGATGCTTAGACAAACGGAAGTTTGTCAACGGTTGGACAATAATGAACGGAATAATTACTAGAGCTTATCTGTTTTTCACGAAAGTGATTACCCCCAAGTCATGCATAGAATGCCCTCGGCATTCCGAACGCAGCGCTATCTCTCGACCACTGCCACAGTTATTTTTTTTTTCTTGAAGCCTCCGAGAATGCAAACGCTTGCTGCGCGCTAGCCATTTCGGATATTGAATGTATCTGAAATACAGATACTCGATCCGCGAGACGTATCATGATACAAGATACCAAAGAGTGTATGAGATAGTACATATAGGATACATGTATCTTAGATACTGCTCTACCTCGCATGCGTGCACTTGATGCTATATACCGAACAGATCAAGAAGAAGTAGCACTACTTTCTTGGCTTTGTTGTGGTCAAGACCAACATTTCGCTGCGTGTGCTCGTTTTGAACGTTTAGGTGACCTGTCCGTTACACTTATGCCTTGAGAAAACCACGCCCAAATGTCCGGGAACATTCCAGATAAGTTTAGGGTCTTGTGATAAGCCTGAGCGTGCAACGTGGACTGTAGAGCTTATTTTGGAGTTTGCCTGGTCATCAAAAATAGAGCTGGAAATTCGATATACAATGTCAGTTTTTGTGAAAAGTAACTCGGGAACGCGTGGAACCAGCGGCAAGATAGCAACCCCTAGCTCCCCCTTCAAGGTGATTAACGGCCTCTTGCCTTATTCACCTTGATGGAGGGGGTGGGTGAGGGGTGGTATCTTGCCAATAGTTCCATATCAGCAATGCATGTTTGCTTGGTTGGCCAAGAGATGGCGTGAAAAGAGGCTGTGGTTGCTCTCGGTTCAACTTGAACGCGCTGCCAGCAGCCACTGGACTACGCAGGCCTCGCGTTCCCGTGTTTCCTTTCATAAAAATTGACACTGTACAGCTAAAATACGGCAACACGCTTCAACTCTGGTCTGATTACTCGACTGCCAACTACATTTATAACCGCTAACAGCGTGAATTGCTTGTACCTTTCATTCGCCTGCTATAAGTTTGCCCAAATCGGTATTTCGCAGTCTTGCGGGACAGCCTTCGTCCCATTACGTGACAATATTATTGTGAGGCATGCCATATGTTGAGGGGCTCTGGACTATGGCTTTGACCCCCCAGTATTCTTTAACGCTCACCTATATCCAACACCTAACCTGCACCGTCCGAGTCCAACGCCATAGCCATTTCGCTAAGGCGGTGGCCTACTCAGAGTCTTCAATGTCTTCGCGTTGCTGAAGCGCGGCACAAACGCATTAGCCAAGAGACGTGGATGGCATAGCCAGTGGTCATGCTGTAATCATCAGACAATGGGCGCACTTCGCTGGCATCCTCAATTGATGTTGTTATGGCGTCAGCTCTGCAAGTCATCATCGACACTGACGTAACTGCGCACCTCCACTGTAGCGCCTTTCATTATTGTGCACAAGCTCGCTTCGTCCACGTGAGTAAGCAGACGATGGTACCTTCTTGCTGAACCAGAAGGCTGGCGTCAGAATATCGACTGCGAAGTGTGACTCCACCAAGCTAACTCTTCGCCTATTATTATTTTTTATGCCCAGAATTGGCTATTTATCTCATCGAGAACTTAAACGCATCTGAGTCCATCTTAACGGGATACATAGTGCGTACGCATATACAGTATCCGCCAGTCGCGAATCAGCTTGCCGGCTCACCAACTATAGTACAGATACGAGCAGAGACAGCTTACTAAATTGTCGACTTCATTATGACGTCTCAGCGAGATCGTCCAGCGATATTTGAGAACCCCTGCTTAAGCGAGCGTCTGCTTTTTTGAATAGTGCCTTTCATTTATTGTTTTTCTCTTCCCACTCTCTCCATACGTAATCAATCTTCAGGGCTTCACCACTGAACAAAGAAACGTTCACCGTGACCTGGCGTCGGTGTCGCACGGTCGCAGGGGCCCTTCTTGGCGCGCAGCATGACGCGCTGCCTACTGAAGGATCCCGCGACCACTCCCATCTTTCCGAGCGCGAGTCGGATGTTCCGGTCGCATCCACTCTCCCCGGCGACCAACCGGTTTCTCTCAGTGCCGTGTTTTCTTTCGCATCTTCCACGGCAAGTGTTCTGGCGAACACCGGAGGTGGGAGCGCAGACTTATCGAAACAGACCACGCAACGCGGCGATACGGTAGAGCCATTAAGTGGCGAGCGAAGGTGTCAGCTCCGAGAAAATCAAGAGCGGCTTGTTTTTGGAAACGTCGTAAGAATCGCCGGAGGGGGCAGCAGCGGCGTCTGCCGAGCGGGGGCGCTGTTCGCGTCGGCGTGCTCAGAGAGGGCGCGAGCGCGCCAAAGAAAGCGCTCGTTCAAATCGGTCGGCGCAGTCGGCGTGGTGCTTGTGTCGACGCCGGTTAGGCCGCATTCGATGTCCCACGATGGCATCGCATCGCAGCCTTCTGCTAGCCCTATGTCTCTTCGCCGCCGTCGCGTGCCTGGCACCCGGGAAGCAGGTGAGCAGCGCATTTCTTGGCGCCATTCTGCTCGCATCTCTGCCCTTGGCTTAGCACAGCCGCCTCTTCGAAATGGTGGGCGTGTGCTGCCCGCGCACGTGGGGCGCTTCAAACCGCTAGAATTCGAGGTTGAGCGCGGTGGAAATATATGCGTGATCGCAGCGTTGTGCCTCCGTACAGTATAGAGCAAACCATTTTTTCTGCAATGAAGTATGCATTTCCCATTCTTTGCCCCGCTTGTAGATGCCCACACCACAGGACGTTGTGCCGCTCACTCGCCGAGCATATATGCGGTCACGCCTCTGCAACCAGTCGGGGCTAGGTCAATGCAGCGTAATTGCGGGTTCTGAAACGGCTGGCGCTCGGATCCAGCGTGGTTTTCTGGCGTAGCTGGCCTGTAATTAAGCGGCCTCTGTATCCCGAAAACTCGTCACCTACTCTTATGAAGAGCCAGTTTCTACTGCGACGGTATATCGCTGTGCTACAAGCGGATCATTACATGCACGTGTTTTCGAATGCAGATAATTAATCGAACTCTCGCGAGTTCCAGCGCTATTCCATACCAAGCAATCTGAAAAAAGTATTTCGGACCTTTAAAGCTTTGCCAATAAACAGGCTGGCGTACTCATTTATGACACAGTTCTTGATTTGTAGGAGAGTAACTGTAGGTACGGCGCTCAGTTTTAGCATGCGGATCCGTGGCAGACTTTCACGGAGAAGAAATGGTTGCGGGTCGGAGAGCTTGCAAGCGCTACATGAAGTGCTTTCGTGGTTGTCGCACACTACCGGGTGTTTGAGGAAATGTCACTTCAGGTTGTCATGGTGACCTATCGTTCGACGACTGCCCCCAAGGCGTTCTGCGAAGTATTGTTTCAAGCGTACTTCTTCATTAAGCGCTGGCGTACGGCCGGGCCAACACCACCTAGATTTTGTTGGCCGGGCCCGTCCTGCACGGAACCACGCCCCACGTGCGCGCTCGGTTTTTAGGAAAGGATCTTGTTTCCGCCTCCCCTCACCCTCGGCGCGCCGCTCCCTCGCGCCGACGTCTGGGCGTCTTCTCTGCACTGCGCCGCGTTGCCTTACGGCAGACAGAAATGAGGAGGCTGCGAGAACCAGAGCTGGGCGCGGCTCACACGTGGTGCTTCCAGTGGCTGTACATACACGAGACAAGCTCGTTTACGCATTAAGCAGGACCCTTCTGCTTCTTCGTATGGCCACTGAATGGATCCCGGTCGCAAGAAAAAAACAAAAAAAAAAAAAACATTGATGGTCCGTTGGAATCCAGTGTAGCGATATTGTAGCGACGCCGTCGGCTTGATTCTACTATCGGAAAACCATTGCTATGAACGGAGTGCGAGGCGCCGTTTGAAAAGTTTACTTCTGGCTCGCCACAGCTCGGCGGCTGGTGAACGTCGCGTATTGCGGGGATCGGCATTTTAGTTTCTGGAGTACAAGCGTTGACTTCATGACTTGAGACGATTTCGCCGCGTCTTGGCTGACCCACGTCCTGAACCATTTGATCCGTGTTGCGGGCGATAAGTGCATGGGGTAGCATAAGGAAATTGTGTTGCGAAATCGAGAAGATTCGAGTCCTACATAAGGAAACGCTTGTGTTTAATTTAAATTACATTTCATTTCAAGTACCCGCTGATGCAGAGTATTAGTACGGGAGAACCTGCAGCACGATTAATAACGCCACCTTTGTTGCCTCTTAGGGCTCCGAATTCCACGATCTGGGTCGATTAAAGTAATGTACTTATTCTCGGTCCGTACGTACCTCTTTAGGACCATGCAGGGAGACAATCGGGCAACAGGCACTTGACGTTCGCCGTCCCGACCGTATAAACATAGCGGATTGCTGAACTGTACACAAATAGCTCGTCAATTCTAGTCTGCAGCTCTCGCTGAACGATTTCATTGACGGACAACTGAGCCGGGTGGTAGTCGAGACAGGGCGTGTCTTCCTGTGTTCGCACGCTGCCCTGCTTTGTTACTCAATCTCGGGCGTCTTGCACCCGCCACCGTGGTCTCGTGGCACTCGCGGGATGGAATCCCGGCAGCGTTTTCGGTGAAGGCGAAAAGACTTGAGGCCCGCGTGTTTAGACTTGGGTGCGCGTGAAAGAACCCCAGGTGGTCGAAATTTCCGGAGCTCTCCACTACGGCGTCTCCCATTATCATACGGTGGTTTTGGGACGTTAAATCCCAACGATTGATATTAGCGTTTTATTTGCGTTGTGATGACGTTGAACCAGCTAGCTAGTATTCAATCTGGCCAAGTTTTCACCGCCACTCTGCCGTAAGAGCGGGTAGTTTAATGGGAAACTGTTTTTTTTTTCTTCAGATGAAAATTTTATTAGCAGCTCAGTGGGGTGCGTTTATTTATACTGAATAGCGTGTAAGTTTCACTAAAGAGCATAAATGGCCAGATAAAAGGCAGAGGGTCTTTTGCCGTATGTTAACATGGTTTCGTGGCTAACGCCATTCGCCCTTTTAACGTCTGTGGTCAGTTTTCATTGTCGCAATTACTAAGACTTGCCTATTTGACGCCTTGCCTATTGTAGCGTCTTCGTGAGGTTCGATGAATTCAGCGCTCTTCAATCTAGCCCCCTTGTTACTTGGGTTTTAGCAGCGCGAAAAATGCACGAAAGACAAGAAAGGGACGAGACAAGCACTGTCTCGTCCAAGAAAGGGACGAGACAAGCACTGTTTCAGTGCTTGTCTCGTCCCTTTCTTGTCTTTCGTGCATTTTTCGCGCTGCTAAAACCCAAGTATGCCATACCAACTAGCCCAGTCAACCGCTCTATCCCCTTGTTACATATCCAGAAAAACGCAGATAGCAGCGTGCTATATACGCAACCTTTGCTAAGCATCTTTGCAGGGTGGATCACACATGAGGTCCGGTCTGTAACTAAAGAATATTGACGCCACCAGGCTCCTTGGCTTCATGGGGCCGCAGTTTAGGAAGCAAACAAGACTACACAGTATTGAGGCCAATACGAACAAGAAAAGAAAAAGTACTCAAATAGCGGCCTATTTGTAACAGTCGCGTATCAGTGTAATGAAATTTACGGTCTTCAGTAGTTTTCTGCAATCCAGAACTAATGTAATGAGCGACATTGTCAAGGGTGCGTGGCGCCGCATTATTTCATTCGGCGCACGTGTTTTCTCCTGTACCTTTGCGGACCTGCTTCTTAGGAGCGCGTGCGTAATTCAACGCCATGTATGTACATTGTTTTAATATCGATTAATCTGGGAAATTCGCGCTTGTGTAACTATTTTCATAACTTGATAACCGCGCTGCCGTCCAAGCATGACCGAGGCGTCGTCCGAGGAATTCAGCAAAAGCGTTTAGACTTGCTCCAGTTGGCCCTCCTTGAATCGTCTCTCTCGACTGCACTTATCGTGAAAGCACTTATTGAAGGAGGAGTCGATGTCAAGCAGTGTAACACCGCTGTCGTCTCTCATTCTGTGTAGTGTGGCTTGCAGCTGAAGTTCGGACGTCTCTCCACGCGCTGACCGAATAAGCAAACACCAGGCCAATGGTTATCGGTCTCGACCCTTTAGTCGAGCAATCGATTCTCGATGGGCTCTAAAATGCCTGAGGCCCGTGTACTTCGGTGCGTGCACCTTACAAGACACCCGGTGTTGGGAATATCCGGAGCCCTCCGCTCTCACAATCATATCGTGGCGTTGGGACGTTCCAATTTACCATTGCACACGACCGGGCTTTCCGTATGCGGTCGGGAAGACTGCGATGCTCGCGATGCGGCCGTTATTCGTGAAACCGCAGTTCACTGAAAGTCTCTTAGTGTTGGGAATCGCATTGCGGCTGCACAGACGAGCGATTGTTTTGAAGGCGTCCGCATCGTCCAGCTTTTCATTTAAAACGATCGTTCATTCGTTCACGCGTAGCCTTTGGCCCCGAGTCATTATACGACAGGCAGTTTTCGCCCACCTCGTGCATGCAGGCCCGTCATATCTTCGCTTATTGTCACAAGAGGCCGTGTTTGCGGAGAAACCGGAATATTCCCGCCGCCACTCTGCGACGCATCCGAGCCGGTTTTCCGCCGCTCCTCGCGAATGTATGCGTTGGCTCTTGCCTCACTCTGTCGGCGAACGCGGAAGATCTTTCGCGACTCGCGCTGGACCCGCGGCCTTTTTTCGCCGCTGGGTTGTTCGATTTCTTTCGCATTTCTCGCGAGCAGCGGCGCTCCCTTGTTCGCACCTGATAAAAGTCGCAGAGGCGCTTATCTTTGGCGCGAGCTTGCTTTTTCATTCACTCGAAGAGGGCCTTTTACGTCGGCTCTTTTTCTCGTTATCGTTAAAGGCGGGCCTCCTTTTATGCAAACTTTCGAAGCGTTGGATCGCCCTCGTTATCCGGCTCCAGTGCGGTTCCCGTCGCTCTCTGAAACATCTGAAGTTCAAGAAAGAAAGGTCAGGGTCGTGTCTGCGGCGTTAACAAATCGACACTGCTTGCTCGAATTTAAGGATGTCGGCAGAAATGGAAATTACAATCAATGTACGAGCAGCCACGTGCACCTCGGAATGATATGTATAATGTGGGTGTGTTTCCGCGCAGATTTTTTGTTTTGTACGGAAGCAATCGCGGCTCATTTCCTGAAGAATTTTATATGCCTTTACTTCGTTTCACAATGTATACGGACAGTCTGGGCTGTTCAGAAACGCCACATTTGTTCCTGAATAACGAACCAAGGGGGACCGAAACAGGGCTAGTTTCTACACTGCGAATTAAGCCCGCACACAACGCACCCAACAAAAGCTGTAGGGACGTTGTCTGCGTTTAACTGTAGAGCAGGGATTGGCATGAATGGAAAGGCACTTAACTGGATAAAAACAACCTTGCTGCCACAATAGATGCAACGTACGTCCTGCAGATAAAAATATCACGATTGCTATAATATACTGGCTTAGGGAAATATTGCGTGCTTTACAAGGGCCGACCGTTCGTTCTATTGTGAGCTGCTTTACGTTACACACGC